CCATTTGGAGAGGTCCTAGGTGCGCTTGCCAACTCGGCACTGCTGGCCTGCCGGATGTTCGCCAGGTACTTCTCCTTGGTAGCTCCGTGAGGGCGCAACCCTTGCGATTTGTTCCTTAATGTTTGGCAATGGTTGCAACAACCTAGGTGCATGCATCTAAATTAGAAACACATAAGAAGCAAGTTCTAAAATTTAGTGTGTATGCAGTCAAACTGAGGTCGGTACGATGATAGAAAATGCAACCAATCCCAATCATTGTTGGGGAGATTCAGGCACGGTACCTCAACCTACCTCACCTAATCTTACCAACCGTATATAGTATGCATCCGTTTTGCCGTTCCCAATCCATACCTACGACAATCCGCACACAAACACAGTCACCATCCGCACACCGGTTGCAGGCCGTGTGGGCCGTGTCCATCCGCACGAGCCGCCGTTCAGACGGTGTCGGCCGAGAAGCAATGCGGCGCATGCCGGCGTGCGCGTAGCAGGCCGCCACCAGCTTCACCGCCTGGGACCGGTGAAGCGTGACTGGCTGGCCAGCGGAAGCCGTGACTGACTGGGTGAGCCGACCACGACCACAATGAGCCAGCTTCTACGGTAAGTAGAAACGTGCTATAAATGTAACGTGAATCTTGTGAAACATATCCAAAGAACAACAACAAAAAACAGGACCATTGTGAATTCCGGATTCTGTGAGTTTCGGACTTCTATGGGGCCTTGGGGCCTGCAGTAACCTGGATAAAGGATCGTCTACATAAATCATCAAATATAAACATGATAAACCGAACCCCAACCATACAAGAGTGTCGAATGGGTCTCGGAATCTATGGGTCACATTCTTCTGCGTGTTTGTTCGGGGCTTGTTTGGGCTCTGAGGTCAGTGGAGGTGAGGGTATGCTGTGCTTGTACCTGTGGCCCCGTCCACAATGTGAAGGTCAAAATCTAGGGTTCTTCACAGGACATGTCTGTATACAGATTACACTAAGTCACTAATTACGCACAAGATGGACAAGGTAAGATTTGCATATGTGGCGAGTTTAGGTTTGAACACCAAGACCGTGGAGAGAGCCGAGGCCCCTAGGCTCGATTGCCCAAAACACCTGAGGTCTCGGGCATTCTCCCTTACATCCGCGTTGGCATTGCCAAACCTGGGCTGACATGCTGCATGCTCAGGATTCAACTCGCGGCACCTGCTACATCCGAATGGGGATCAATGGGGTCTATATTAGGCTCACTATTAGGCGCATATAACAATACTTTAGGAGTTGCATGTGAACCTACCAAATAACTGCCGTTCAAAATCGTTCAAATGAAAAAACGAGGCAAAGGGAGTTGAAGCGCCACCGGGAGGGGCCTTCCATCTGGAAGTTCACATAGAACTCCACACTTCACCACCAGTCGCCATCTCAATCGCCCTGGAGCCCGGAGCCCATGGGCCGCCCAGTCCCCAATGGCGCCAAGAAGCCAATCCATGGCTAATTGGACCGTGGGATCTAAAGGCAACCCCTCCTTGCTCTCTGGCTGAATCCCGGCCTACATGCAGATGCGGCATGGATGCGACATGCCAGCGGATGTCATGCACGAAAGTGACATCCACTTCCCTCCACATATGTGCAAACAAGGTGAAAGTCAGTGGAAGTGTTCTTGCTGCAGCACAGCAAAAGAAAACGAAGAAACAAATAACGCCATGCAGGAAAAAAATAGAAAAACACATCCATGAGCCGAACAAATGGTGCTAGGGCCGGTGGCCAGGGCCATGGTCGGCTCTATCAGATCCAATGAGCCGTTGGGCCTCGGTGACCATGGAAGCCAAGAGCTGCAAGCGGGCGATGTAAACCTTAGGCGGCTGTCGGGTGGATAGCGTAATGGGAGATACAACTTGATCGAGGGGTCAATTGGTGGCAAGGTGATTATATAACTGCGAGTGTTTCAAAGGAGTCAAGATTGGATAAAATTGGATCGTGAATCGTGGGCTGCTCAAGCCTCACTAACATGTTGTTATCAATTGCTCATTTTCTTTGCTGTTCTGAGGTGACAATGATACAACCATCCCGGTGCGGATGAACCATTCCCAACCCATTCGTATGGCCGTGCGATGACCCGACGGCACGACCGGTGACTCGGAGTGCGCATGAAGCTGCGCTGGACGCGCGCATTGGAAGCCACTGCCACTGCTGTGGTCCCTGACACGTGGGTTCACCGACTTCTTCTTGATGGGCCTGACCAAATGGCTTGGGGATAACGAAGATGGCTTCCGTGGAATGAGGGTGTGGAACAGTTGGGCTGAAGAGATTCATATGGTTTTGGTGGTGAAACTGGCACAACTAACAATTATATATATATTGCAACCGCACTCGCTAGCCTAACTTCTCGAACAACCTGGAACATCCCCAATCACCGAGATACAGTACCCTACAAGTCCTTAACTAACCCCAGTCCAGCTGCAAAGGCTCTGCATCAAGTAACCCCACTAATAAATGTGTCTAGTGTCATGACCTGAAATAAATTCACTACACAGGGTCCTTTGGACAATTCATGGTGTGGCCACTGAGTAACTGAATGAGTACTCACCCGGCTCGGCAAGAAGGATGGCAGCCTATCGAAATCACCAAAAGGAATCACAACGATGGACCTATGACCTGTTGATGAGAGCGTGTCATCCTTCAGTAAGTCAATCGGTCAAAGAAAATCAAAAGCATTGTTTTACTGATTGACTCACTGCTGAGATGACATGGCCATCCATCATGATCAGCTCTCGCCCCACCTCAGCAGTTGCTGAGCGGTGAAGGCAGCGCCTTGGGACGACCAAAATGGTATCCGCACGAAACGGGTCTGTTTTTGAATGGGAGAACGGTGCCAGCGCATGCCGGTACCATATACTTGTTTGAACAAACAGTGGTAAGCACGCTGTGGGAAGTTTCCACTGAAATGGGCATGAACCAGATCAGCCCCGTGATCGGTGGCGATGCTTTGTTCAAACCCAAGACCGCTTCCGCATCCGCAGGTGGTCTTGCCCATTTTCTCCATTCAATTTCCTCCGTTTCGTTTCCAGTCCATGGATGTTGAGCTAAGGTCTCTTCGCGTATCTTCTCCGTATTGAAAGTCACTGAACGCATCCGAACGCCAACCATCATGGTGGATGACCTGACTAGATGGCACAAGCCTCACCACTAAAATTGGGTGGTTTATGATCCATAATTACATTATCTATATATCAAATTCTGTATTTAAATGAAACAAATTAATTTAACATATTTGTTAATATTAACTTGAGAGAGGAGGGGGTGAACGAAAGGTAGCAGGCAATCACAAGTAACCCAGGTAGAAGTCCATGACGGCGTGAACCGGCGCCCCCTCCCCCGACGAACAGAATCATCTCTTACAGGACCAAACTCAATGCACAATCCCAACTCCTGATTGTAATACATTTTTGCTAAAGCAAGGAGAACTCAGGTAGCTCAAGCTACCTTTCGTTATATACTTCTCCAATAAACAGGAACTCTTTAAGATCTTTAAGGATCTTTAAGGTAATTACCTTGTGTGATGCTCTTATGGTTTCGCCGAGTTCTTTACCCCAATCATGTGCCCCGGACCAAACCCGACGATCCCACATCGCCTAGGCTGGGACATCGCATGAGGTCGCACAAGTGTGCGTCCCTGCACCGGCCAGGTGCATGAGTCCGGAACGGAGACAGGGCTTGTGTTGGTAACGCTGCATGATTTCAAGAACAGGCCTCTTATTTGGTTGACTTCTTGACCAATTCAATCCGACACATCATCTGAAGTGAAACTATTTTTGATGTTTTTTGTGTTGGGGATGTTTCCTCGCCCAAACAGAATAGTGATTGTTGGACTGCTACGGTATGGGGTCAGGGTTTGACCTCGAATTATACCAACATTTGTGAATTGAGCTGTTGCTCAAATCTTCCATTTCAATACGTGTGATACTGCAACCTCACTTGCCACACTTTCTCTCTTGCCTGGCTGTTGATACCCTCCACCTCCAGCTGATATTTGTCCCCTGAAATTTACACATTGTACTTTTAGAGGTGAGGTTTACCATCAACCTCTCTACAAATAAAGCATCACACCAAATATTCGTTTCAACCACAGTCTCCCCTTCTCACTTTCTCATGTTCCTTTCCCTTCCGCCTCGCAGCCTTGTCCACCCGCGCCTCAGGCAAAAAAGGTCAAACATGTGCGGTGCATGGAGAACAAGGGACTTTGATCAAGGTGGAGTTTCAACTCCAAGAAATCCAACTTCTGACGCTTCTGGCTGTGTCCTTTTGCGCTCCGCTGCTCATCTTACCACGGCCACACAGGCCTTGGCAAGCCTCCGGCTGCACATCACACGACTCCATGCAGCAGCGCATGCAGGAAGATACCCGACCTGCATCATGGAATGTCAGGAATACCACTGACAGCCCAAGAAGTGAATTGCTGCCATGTCAAGCCCTTCGGCCTCGCCCAGCTGCCCCAGGCCAATGAACATCTGGGCCCTGGGCACCTTCTTAGTCTGTTCTTGCGGAGGGGAGGCTTTAGCACAAGCCTCCTATATAAAGTGACTCTTGCAGGAAACGGCAGGTTTGCGCGTCTAGAGTTTACATGTCTGTCCGTTGATTCCATGCCAATGCAACAATTGAATTGACTGAAACCACTTAACAAAATGCGAAAGGCACCTTGAGCAAGCTGCCAAAAAAGAAGGAACACTTGTGTAACAATCGCTTTCCGTCACCAACTTGCGCAAAATTCTTGCCCCAAACCTCACTGAATGCCATCAAATGCATCTTAAAAAAGGAATAAAAAAGGGACAAAAAGCGCAGCTTCGCACCGCATGAAATACCTCTCCTTGTTCCTCGCGATCCCTTTGCCGCTTCTTGAGACCAACTCCCCGGGCCCCCACAAGCCGCTAGCCCTCCAAACAAATACAAACAAACACAGAACAAACCTCTGTTCTTCAGCAGGCTTCCTAGGCAAACATATAGATTGTAGATCAATACCATTTATAGAACGGGGCAACTGGCGACTCCGTGAGTCTGAAGATGTGTTTCATCTTCTTTCACCTTGCTGCTTCGCCTTCGGCGGAAGCTATCGAGAACACACGAGGGCACCTGCGATGCCCGCAGAGGTCGTCAGAAGTCGGCCAGCCAAAACCACAAATTCTCGGGGTTCATGCCCAAATCCTTCAACGTCTCCTCTGACAAATCCTGGAACATGCCCAGGCCTTCCAATTCAGGATCCAGGTCCGGGTCCTGGGTCTGTCGAGCAGCAATCGATAGATCCCTTCCACTGCGCAGCTGGCCTCGCAACGTCCACGGAGTAACTGCGACTTCATCAGTGTCGGGGAATTGTTCCCTCTTTGCCTGTGCTCGTCGATAGAGTTTCGCCTCAAATGTTGTGGTCACCAGCTCAAACTCCCCCTCTTCAATCCACCAAGTCCACTGTGTCAATGGTTTAGTTTTTTGCCCGTCATCATGCAGCCACCGGTCATCGTCATCATTGGGATAACATTTTCTCCTCCTCAAACAGGTGCCGTTGTGAAGACACAACCAAGTTATCGGGCCATTCTGGTCCGCCTCATGCCAAAGAAAACCATCGTTCTTGGGGTGTGGACAGCTAGATGGGAGTTCCTCTGAGGTGAGCACTGACTGCAGCATCTCAAACGCTTCTGCCCCAGACTTTGTCAAAGGATCAAATGTTGGCTCTTTGCTGGGTTCCCTGATGCCGTTGCACACAGGATCATCCCACACATAGGAAAAATGCAAGGACACATCCCAGGCTGAAGCTTCTTCCACTGCTGCTGCTTCGCTAGTCTTCTCTGACTTTCCAGCAGCTGCGCTTTGCAATGGTCTTTTCTGCTTCTCATGGTTTTCTTGAGACTTCATTTCCTGAATCTCCTTCACGACCTTGGTCGCATCGCCAGCGCATTCGAGGAATTTGAATTTCTCCCTGTTGGAGCCTGTAGACAAGCGGCAATGAATCAAGTGTTCCAGCCACCCTCCTAGCAAAAACTCATTTACAATGATCGCCATGAGCTGCGCCCGGGTGATCGTCTGATAAAGGGAAGATCGGGTGTGTAGATCACAAGTGCCACCTGCACGCGTGCGGCCATTTCATCGGTGCACTTGCATCGGTGCGCTTGGAACCCGGCAACCTACAAAAATTCTACTGTAGACTTCATGAAGGCCGTCCTGCAAAAAAACTCGGAAGAACGTTTTGCACGAGCACTGGGCATGCTATAATCCTACAAGAAGGAGGGAGGGTGAGGAGATTATGAATGGAATGAAATACCCACTCTTGATCCCTTTTACTGAAATACACAGGCAAGGCACGTCCGAAGAAGCAGGGCAGGCCGGGCAGGCAATCTCTCTACCTCTCTGTCTGGTCTCATGCTTCAGTTCTACTTTGTTTCTTGCTTCGGCATGATGCGTATCCTCTCTCTCTCTCCATTGCCCTCTCCAAGAGTTAGCCATTTGGCTAAGGCGAGCTCAAGCCCAATTTTCGGAAGGTGTGATAAGACAGCCATCTAGCGTCTCGACGCGTTTCCTGAAACAATCAATTTGGCTGATGGTAGCAAGCGTGCTGAATTGGAAATCGTCCCAGTTCATTGGGTCTCTTAAAAAAAGAAGAAGAAACATGTTATGCATTGTTCCCAAGCCTTGAACACCAATCCTCGCATCCATTCCAACCGAAATAACAATGATTTCTTCGAGCCCCTTGGCATTACTCACGGAATCCAGAACGATGCACTCCTCCTTGGAGTTCTCCACAGTACCCGACGACATCACATGAGACAACGACTCCTCAAAGTCAATGAGGCGCAAATCCTTGTACGTGATCTTATCTCGGAGCACATTCTCCAAAAGGGGCTTGAATTTAGTGAGAAAATCAGTATTCGGCACAAGGATGGCCACGCAGTGGTGAAGGCTCAGGCGCGGATATGATGAGATCACGTGCAAAAGAGCAGAAAGGGTGTGATGACAATAGTCTTGGAATGGTGGCGAAAACATATCTTCTTTTGGCTCAAAGAAGAAGGTCTTCAAAGGCGGACCTGTGCAGCTCAAGGAACTTGCATCATTGGATAACTGCTCGGAAAGCAACTGAAAGGATTTTGCCCCGAGAACGACTCGCTCCGTACTGCGCACCACCTGGCTCAGGTATGCTCGCAGAAATTGGATTTCTTCAGGATAGTTCTGCTCCATGGCCGCCGACTGGGACTCGTCTGAAAGGAGGATCCTCTGCTTGGAGCTGTTCACAAGAATCTCTCTGAGCACACCTTGTTCAACATCTGGGCGGAAGATGTCGTGAGCCTCGTCTACAACTGAAAGCACAAACTGGATGGCGGTGGAGCCTTCATCTTTTGCAAGTTCTATGCGAGTGCCTTTGAGGCTAGCGGTCATGATGCTGGTGTAGGGCGAATGCATGAGCCTAAGGCGACCAAACAATTTCACCACATCTTCCTGCCCGAGCTGTTCTGCTTCGTCACTACCATGCATTGCCAGGAGCCACCGCAGGAAATGCAAGCACAAAGACTTCGAAGGAGCTGCGAAGAAGACTAAACCTTCCTCATTTGCACTCAAGGTCTGCAAAACCTTCCGAATGGCGACAAACTTCTTGCCTGACCCAGCTGCTGCTGACAGGTGAAAGTCGCCGGGTCCATCTAGCTCTCTCACCTTCTCCTCTTGATGTGGCGTCAGCTTCGTGGAACTCATCAGAACTTCCTTGTAAGCTTTCACGAACTCAGTCTTCTCGATCTGCACTTTCATATTCCTCAATCCAAAGGCATCTGTGTTGGTGACCTTCTTCTCCAAAGCACCAGAGAGCACTGCATCGCACAATTTCTTCAAGGCCTCCACATCGCTGCTTTGAATGTCAAATGTCATTGCCGGAATGTCATTCTGGAGCATCTCCTGCCGAGGAACTGTTGTGAGCACTTCCTGGCCATCTGGAAGACTAGCAATCAAAGCCTCAAGGAAGTCTTTCTTGCCCAACTTGTCGGCAAACTCCTGCATTGCGGCAGTCTCATGTCGAACACGGTCTGTTCTGAAGACTTGCCCGGTCTCCTTGCACCGCACGTCCCATTGCAAGCCATCATCTTTGTGAACTCTCTGGATGACTCCTCTTTTCCATTCATGCTGATCCCACGCTGCAACTGCCTGCCCGGGAGCAAAGGAATCCTTGAGGAAGTCAGAAACATCCAGCTTCTCGTAATCCCAAGGATCACCATGTCGCTCCTTCATGGCATTGATCATGGCCACTTCGGCCTTCTGAGAACCGCCCAGTCCTCTCTTTCGGGGGTCCGGATCCCAAAGAGGCACATTTGGATCCTGTAAGTCCTTCAGGGTCACCTCACCCTGCCCGACCATCCCTGGATAATAGACCACTCGGAGTCGCTGGCCTTGTTGCACTGCTTTGTCCATGTGTCCGAACCACACCTTAGCTACAAGGCTCTCCATGCGTCTCCATAGACATGGTTGATGTCAACGCCACAATGGCAAAAAAGAAACAAAAACACACCATGTAATGTCAACCTTTGATTTATCGGTAGGGGCCCCCCCCCCCCTGAAAGACCTCAAATAGACTTAAGCACTGTTTTCAACTGTTTAGTATTGGTAGAGACTTTTCCTTTAGTATAAAAATCTATAAAGGAAAAGAATAGAAGAAAGGAATCCATTGAGGACCCATTGATTCAGCAGGAATCCTCACCAGGATCAGCCAGCAGGAATCCTCACCAGGATCAGGGGGTCCTTAGATGTATTTAGGGTCAATCTTTATTTTGTACTTGGGCCCTCATGAGGGGTACCCTTGCTGAACTGCTTTCATAGCTTTGTTCAAGATTTTCCCGAATGCGTAGCGAAGGGTTCCCGTTTATAGTTGGGGGTCTGGGGGTTGGAGCTGTGTTTGCATGGCTTGCGTCGTCTCGTCGTCTGTCGTCGTCTCTCGTCGTTTGTCGCCGTTTGTCGTCGTTTGTCGTCGTTTGTCGTCGTCGTCGCGTCTCAAATTTGCTGCCATTGGGGGAAGCTTTTGCAGGTGACTTTTCATGGATGTGTCACGTGTCAGTTTGCGCCGCTATTCCATTATGATTTGCATGACACCAACATGTCGCGCAAGAAACGTGATGCATTTCGCTGCACAGGCGCAGCGTTTTGTGAGATCCGCAGATTGCTGCGCAGTTCCATTGAGATTAGGGTTTGGAGAGTCGTGTTTTTGGGGTGTTGGATGTGGCCGTGCCATTGGGATTTGCGTTTCAGGGTGTGGCATCGAAGCTCGGTTTTCGTGACAAGTCTCAGCTGAAATGGCGATTTTGGTGGATGGGAGTGTGCTCAGAACGGGTCGAAATCATTCCAAACGTGCACTTAGATGGGCCTGGTCGTTACTAGTGTGTTATGAGGGTTACAGGCATTAGCTAGTGCCACTATGAGGCTTTACAAGGGTTAGCTAACGTCTCTAATGGTATACCCTTAAGACCACTTTTCAACAGGATGTTGTTGACATTTTTTCTGTAAAAATTGTCAACATAATTTCAAAATGAGCATATATAAATGATTTCAAATTGCTTGTTGCAAGAAATTGCACAAAAATCTGGGCGCGCTTTTCACTGAAAAACTCAAAACATGTTTGCTTTTGAGCATGAGCCTTGGCTGGCAAGTGAAATTGAGCCTTTCCTTGGCAATTG